TAATAAAGTTCCAACTACTGCTGGCGCTTAAAATCAAACACACTAAAGTTCACTGTCTTTTGAAATTATTAACAATTTCTCTAAGACTTTTACATATATATAACTTATGTGATATATAGAATTTGACTTTTTAATAAAATAAAATAAATAATATTTATATAACAATTCAAAATACCACCTATTGTGTTATAGACTCATGAGTTATGGTAATAAAAAAAACAAAAAAATCATCAGATCATTTAATTTAATTTGTCAATCAAAATTTTATTAAATTTATATATTATAATTTATTGTATTTATAATTTATTATTTTTATTATATTTACCAATATTAATTTATAATATAATTCAACATCTTTGCTATATTAACAAAGCTTAAATAAATATATTCTGCCTAATTATTAGTAAAAAAAAAATAATCCAAAAATTATAATAACAAAATAATAACAAGAATATTTTTTAAGTCGAATATGTTTTTTTATAAAACTTCATATTATTTATAAAATGATAATTATCTTTGTAAAATCAACACTAAAATTATATATTTTTATTTGAAAATCTTTACGTGGTTATATAATTAGAAATTTTTTTTAGCAACACAATTTTTTTGATCCGAGTATAAAGCAATGCTAAATAGTAAGAATACATTGTTCGGAAAATATGCTAACAATGATTTTTTGCCTCTAAAAACGCTTTTTTGCTATCATGACTAGCCGCGAGTAAAATCAAAAAATCAATAAAAATACATCATCGTATATAAAAGAGTAAATAAGTGAGCACAGTTACGCATATTGATACCATCATCATAGTCAATTGTCATTGGCTTTGTAACTAAATATGTATATAAATACCGGTTTTGGTCGTGAAGATCAGTGATCTTTTCTTCACAGCGACTTTTTCGCGTCTAAATTCGACAAATTAATTATAAAGATCAATGAATAATGCCACCTAAATCAAAGAAAAAAAAGAACACTAATCCTGCTCGTGGTTTTTCCACAACGAGCATTCCGTCGAAACCCAAAGAGATAAACAAAGAAATTTCTACCCAATCTGATGAAAATGATAAAAATTCAAGCGAAAAGATTAATGTCTCGACCGATTCTTCAACACAGATTACCGCTGATGACTTTAAAATAGAAGATAATGAATTGGATGACATGATTCCGACGATTGAAAAATTACGTGATTTGAATTCCAAAAAAGTTGATAGTCATTTTAAAGATTTATCTTTGGAAGAATCTATCGTTGATGTGAATCGGTTACCCACTTTAAAACTTGAAGCTAATATTGAACTCAAGATTGATAATTATATAAAAAAAATTGGATACCAAGAACAAGGTTGATAATGTTTATCAGTTTACAGGGCTTTAGGGTTCAAGTTTGATAATACTTTCGTCATTTTTCTATTTTGAACAGACACAAAATTCGATTCTGTAATGGACCCGAAAAACAAAAAGGAGCGTGAACGAGTTCTTGCGAAATTGGATTTTGTGTACCTAATATTAAAACGTCTCGGTTTTGCAATAACTGATATTGAAGAATGTATGAAAAAAATTTGTAGTTTTGACTTGCAACCTGCCTTAGACTGGGTAGGAAGAAATAACCTCTTGTTTCCTTTGGAACGTCTCGAACTTTCTAATTAATAATTTGATTTTACTATTCTTGAACTAGTTGTGCATAAACGTTTCACCAGAAATGTTGCCTGCTGGATTTTCGGATAAAATTTATTACGATACTGGTAAATGTTGAACTACAAGATGTAGGAATGAATGAAAAATTCGAAATGCGAGTTATCTCCTAGTTATGTTAAAAGGTTAACCCTTGTTTTATTTAAGTGGGAGCTGATATAAAGTTTGTTCCTAAAAATTCTTCTACCATTAGTCAACCACCATCAGATCCAATGGTGAGATATAAGCTTCATCAAGATCCTTGGCATATATTGTTTTCTCCAAAGAACAACTATCATATAAACTTATGCACTTCTCACGCAAGGAACCTATGACACATGAAGAAGAAATTTCACCATCACATGAGCATAATGAAGATATATCCCATTTAAAGTCACGGATTTTAGATGCTGTAGGAAAGGCCGTATGTAATATCATATGCTTTTGATTTGACACTATGAAGTCAATATTTAATAATGCTTGAATTGAAAAGGAATTCGATAGCGATGATGATGTAATGATAGATCCAACCGAGGAGTATGCAGAATTAAAGTCAAAATTGATAGCACTAGAAAAAATGATGAAGTCCAGCGATAATAGTGAGGTTGCTAGCCATATCGACACCATTAGAGCAAAACTCAAAGTATTAGAAGGAGACTATTTATTCGACCGAAAGAAGGCTGAGAAATTGTTCAAAGAAAAACAAAAAAGGATTGATAGAGAAGAAGCGATTAAAAGACCTAAATCACAGTCTGACCGTGAAGAGAAAATAGAGAGTAAAACTAAAGGAAGTAATTTACTTGGGTTTTCACTTCAAGACGAAGATGATGGAGATTTATTTGGTGGATTATTAAATATCTTGTCATCTGAAGAAGCAGAGAAATCTGAATCTGCTGTGGCAAAAAATAATCGTACATGCATTCTCAGAGAGATGCCTGTGCATGATTCTTGGACCGGCAAAATGCCAAAAGAAATATTACGAGAGACTTGTCGTAAGATAGACTCACAAGTTAAAGTGATCTTCCACAAGGAACCAACTGTTGGGGGAAATAGTATTAATAAAGCTGGAGTCAAAATATTCTGGAGTGGAGGAAAAGAAAATAATTTTACAATGAAAGACGAAGGGTGTCGTACGGTTGAAGAAGCTGAGAATTATGTCTCCGTAAGTTCTTGTTAGAAACACAACAAGTGTTGTTCCTAGATTTCAGAAGGTCTTATTTTATTTGACTTATTTTGATAGACACTGGCATTATTTGACTTAACCGACCTTCCTCTGTATCGTTCATTCCCACCTTCATATAAAGATCTATGGTTAGAACTAGCAGAAGCAAAAGTAATTTATTATTGATTAATTTAATTTTCTTTTTTCTAAATCATAAGTATTAATTGATTCTTGTATTATTAGAATTTTGAAGTTAACAAAGATAGAACAAAATCGGAAAAGGAGAAGATAACTTTTTTATTATCTGTTGTTGATAGCAAAATCGAAAGAATCAACGTAAATATTGTTAGTCCAGGACATAATCTTCTATCGTGATGAGCTAACGTGAGCGTTTATTTTCATTAGGCAATAAGAGAAACTTTGAAGGAAGAAGTGGAGACGATTGAGCACGCAAATGTAGTTCCTAATAAAATTATACCAAAAGCCCAATATGATGACATCTCGGCTGAAGGAGCTGCTATGAAAAAGGCTTTTGTAAACAGGCAATCCCACAAGTCATACAATGATCTTCTAGTAAATATCTCTTCTCGCAATTTTATGTTTATTGTTCAGCAGTAAATTATGAATGATTATTAATGTGTAAATTGAAGGCCAAGCGTAAGCTACTACCGATTTATTCTTACCGAGAAGAATTATTGAGAAAACTAAATAGTAACCAAGTTATTATTGTTTCTGGAGAAACTGGATGGTGCGTGTTTCTTTTTTTAAAAAAGAAAAACTTTCTGATTAGCAACATGAAATTTTAAAAAGGCACATTTTCTTTGGCAGCGGTAAGAGCACCCAAGTGCCACAATTTATCGCCGAGCATATGCTTTTGAGTGGATACGGAGATCACTGTAATATTATTTGCACTCAGGTTTGATGTTGCAATAAATAAATTTTTCTTGCTTTTTTAATGAAATGGGTTTAAAAAACTAACGTTTTTATTTTACTTGATTTAGCCACGAAGAATTTCTGCAGTTTCAATTGCACTCCGCGTATCGCTTGAAAGTAAGGTCTTGAATCGAATTTTATTTTATAAAAAAGTTTCTATAAACCTATATTGTTTGTCGATTCATAGTGGGTGATATGCCTGGAACCATTGGTTCAATGAAATCTCTGGTTGGTTATCAAATTCAATTGGAATCTCGCATTTCATATTCTAATGTGCTGACATTTTGTACCAATGTGGGTATCGTTGCATTAATAAGCAATTTGATTGGATTTGGAAAAGTATGTTCTGTTAATAGTTATCCTAATTATCTACATACAGGGTATATTGCTTAGGCGACTTGAAAGTGATAGGCTTTTGACCGATGTTAGTCACATCATAGTTGATGAGGTCCACGAGAGAACACTTGAGTCCGACTTCTTGTTAATAGTGCTTAAAGGACTTTTACAAAGGCGACCAGATCTGAAGCGAGTTCTACTTTTTGATTTATTGTGACATTTGATGTCTTTATGTCAGAAAATAATAACACAACCGTTTGATATGTTTTGCTTTTCTATTATAGGATTATTTTAATGAGTGCAACTCTTGAAGCACAAAAATTTTCTCAATACTTCTATAATTGCCCTGTAGTGGATATACCAGGGAAAACATTTCCGGTTACCGTAAAGTACCTTGAAGATGTTATTGAAGAAACAGGTTTGCTGGCAGTCATGAATGTTATTTCATATCACGTAATGAGTTAATTTAATCCTTGATGTTTGATATTTTGGATCGATCCAGGATACATGATTGATGAAGGCGATGAGTATGCAAGAAAAGTTTTTAGACAAATTAGAGGTGGTTTTTTCAGCTTAATTCTAGTTCCTATTTATATTCATATAACGTATATAAATGTATTAAATACTTAAATAGACGAAGGGACAATATCTGTCACTGGCAGAGGAAATAGTACAAGTAAAGTTCACTTCGAAGTGGAGGATCAATATACCTATGACGATTTTCCAATTCCAAACGAAGAACTTGCATCATTCTCACAACGCACTCAATCAGCCCTAAGAAGACTTGACTTCGACAAAATAAATTATGACCTCATCATATCGCTTCTCAACTTTATCTGCGTGCAAAAAGAAGATAATTCAAGCACAGCTACAAATGTTTTGTCAGATATTCCACCGGATGGTGCAATCCTGATTTTTCTACCAGGAATGCCTGAAATTTTAAGGTTGCATGACCGGCTGAGGGCTGATAGGCATTTTCAAGATGAAACTCAATTTTTAGTGTATCCATTGCATTCTTTGATATCTTCGGAGAGTCAATCGGCAGCATTCGAAATTCCTCCAGAAGGTGTAAGAAAAATTGTTTTGGCCTCAAACATTGCAGAAACTGGAATTACGATTCCCGACATTACAATAGTTATCGACACTGGAAAGGTGAACCAAATAAGGTAAATCATGACCTAAATTATTACGTAAGTTTACAAGAAGCCTATCATCTTCAGTACTTAAATATGTCTTTAGGTATGACGAATCCAAAAAGATTACAAATTTGCAAGAGACATTTGTGGCAAGAGCAAATGCTCGTCAGCGCAGAGGTAGAGCTGGCAGAGTGCGAAATGGAATATGCTTTCATTTGTTTACGAAATGGAAACATGATCACCAGGTAAAATAACGTGTTCTAATTTTATTATAATTTAATAGTGAAGATTCTGCAACACATGTTTATTTTATAAAAAGATGGCTGACTACGAACGTCCAGAAATATTGAGGCTACCTTTACTAGAACTTTGCCTCAAGATAAAAGTTTGTGAGTTGGGAAACATCTCCGACGTTTTGTCAGAGGCTGTAGATGCCCCAACAAATAAGGCCATTGAAAATGCTATTACAACCTTACAAGAGGTAAAAATATTGAAATTCATTTTTGAACATTAGATTCCAATAGTTAATATTTTTTTCATTTGCTTAAGGTTCAAGCTCTTACCTCTGAAGAACAACTTACTCCACTTGGAATACATCTCTCACACATTCCGGTTGATGTTCACATTGGAAAAATGCTACTATTCGGAGCAATATTCCGATGCCTCGATCCAATTCTCACCATAGCAGCTATGCTAAGTTATCGAGGTCCATTCCTTACATTATTTGGAAAAGAATCTGAATCTGATTCAGCACGAAACAAATTTAAATATGGAGATTCCGATTTATTGACAATGTATTCCGCCTATTGCAAATGGAAATCAACCTACGAAAAGCACGGCTCAGGAAAAGTTTTACGGGAGTTTTGTCAGACCAATTTTCTGAATGGTCAAAATTTGCGAATGATCGAGGATTTGAAAAAACAATTTTTATCATTGTTGGTGAATATCGGATTTGTGCAACTACATGAAAATATGAAAGCCGAATTAGGCAGGCAGGTGTTCTTGATCTTTTCATAAAGTTTGAGAATTTTATACTTACTATTTCATAATTTCATAGATTTGGTCCGAAAACCATGTGTCGAGTTCCAGTAGTTTATGATACAAATTCATCCTCCACTCATATAATCAATGCTGTAATTGCTGCGGGATTGTATCCCAGAGTAATACATCGAGATTCAAAAAAAAATCAGTTTGATACCATGATTGGTCATGAACTAAGACAGGTTTTCATACACCCATCCTCGATAAATTTTCCGCTTCAGAGCGCAAATGCGTCATCACTAGGAAAGGATTGGTTCGTGTATAATACTATGATGCAGACAAATAAGTTATATGTAAGGGAAACTAGTTTAGTGGAAGTAGTGGATTTGGTTTTATTCGGGAGAGAGATTGATGTGAAGGTGAGAAATATCTTTTAAGGTCTTTTTTTTTTCGTTTTGCGCGTATATTGAAAATTAAAGTTTTCTTTTCTTTATTAAAATACGTACGGCGTTAAAATAATATTACATTTTTAATACTAAAGCATGAAATCAGGATATTGTCTATTGACGAATGGATACGGTTGCAATGTCCAGCAAAGACAGCTACGTTATTGAAATATTTGAGAGGCCAATTGGTGTGTATTGGAACTTTCATACATTTCGCATATTTTCATCTTCAAATGTGCTTATCTTCGATTTAAAAAATCCTACAAATAGAACAAGATCCTCAAATATAAAATCGATCGTCCCGAAGCTGAGCTTGATGGGGAACAACAAGGGTGGTTGGATTTGATTTTAGAGGTCTTAGAGAGCTGTGAAGAGACCAGCGGGAAGGCATAAGACACTACATAGATGTGATCCAATGGTTTAAATTTCAGAAAAATATCACCATAACCAATGTTATTTTTTATTTAATGCTGATATATGTATATTAAAGTATACTATATGAATATTAAAACATAATTAAATAAAAAATCAAAATTTTAAATATTGGGGTTGCGCTACTCATATTAAGTAGAACAGAGTAGAGCTTTATTGAACTATGTCATGTATTCTAAACAATTGCACTCGGATCGCTATGTCCGTGCATTAATATTTCGAATACATGATACAGTTACTTTATTAATTTTTGCTTTTAAACTTCGAGACTGTGACTGTGTAGTCAGTCACATTGATAAAAAATCAGCTAGGGGTGGATTGTACAATATTCATCAATATCTAATTGATGGCATATCTTTTAAATAATGCGAAAGATCGTTGACGTGTTATACCCTTCACGCAACGTTTTTTGGAATAGCTTTCCATACTTTTTGATCTAACGACCTGTGGATAAGTAGAGAACTTTTCGGGATATCAAATTCCTGATCGTTTATTTGTTTGTAGTAATTACATGGGTGAATATATTAAGTGATATGTTTCTACTAGAATTGTTTGAATGTTTTAACTGTATTTTTCAGATGGTATCAATACCATTTTTATATTTTAAACTAAATGTATTAAAAGTGAAAGACATTTACACCAAAATTATTATGGAGAGTCGAAGACTCGATCCAACGGGACGAATCGGTTGTGGAAAAGTGAGTTTATATGAAAAAAAATATGAAAAGAACATCCTGCAGAATATATGCCAAACTTACATTATCCTACACGGGATATTGCGCAATTCACGCTAAGGTTTATTTTTTCAACAGCTGGTACAAGAAACAAAGACAAATGTATATACATACTTGTCGAAGCTATATATGTAGGAGCAAAAAATCCCCCATATCGAAGCTCCTATCTCATAAAGCCTCACCTATCCACACCTTATCACGTATATACAAATACATATCTTCAAGTCTACGGCATAAAATTTCTTTTCCTATCAACCTTTCCTGATACGTCATTTCCATAAAATCATGAGAATCATTACCAAGTTCTTTATTGAATAAACAGGTGTTTGCGTTAACTTCTATTCTTGCGAATAATCTATTGAATCGGTTTTGTCTTTATCTGTAATAGTCATGAACTTATCAGGATCCTCACCGTGCTCGATAGCCCATTACCTGAGGCACCTCTCTCGTTCTTCTCAACCAGGTGGATATGTAGCTGATTAGTTGGTAAATTGATTTCATCATTTGCTGATGCGATGTTCTTGGAAGGTTCTGGTTTATCGTCTACAGGTTCTACATTTATGATCTCGGGAGTCATGGGTATATTAGTGGACTCAGACGAAGCAACGTAACTTTCTGGTTGATCTATTATGAAGTCAAAAAGATCCTGGGTTTGTTAGTAATGGGCAAGTGGACGATGTGTCCTTACCTTTTTGATGCGATTTGCGTTCGATAAAGCAGGTTCTACCTTTTTGGATGTCGCGGTTAACGGTATGCCAGAAATTCTTCGATATCACATACTAATTCATGTAACTTATTTACGATTTGGAGTGGTAAGAATATATGATATACTCTTTATAGCGTGAACGTTTACGGTACGATTAATGCCTATTTGCGAAAATTTTTTCCAAGCACAGTACTATTAAATGGCTCTTCATCATTAATTTTACACCATGAAAGATATATTAAAATAAGTAACAAATTTGATTTTTTTTGTAAATTATTATACTCAGTCAAAAAATTGTATGGACTATTAGATTAATTAATTAATTTTGTAACATGTTAAAAATATCAATTATATGAATAAGATAATGCATTAGGTTTGAAAACACAATTAACCATCAATTATATAGTGTGTTGTGTTGAATTTTAAATTTAGCACACAAAAAAAAATTTTTACAATATTTATTTATTTATTTTTATTTTTATATTTTTTTTAGGTTAAAAGTGCTAGTATCACATGTGTTTTATTGAATTATTTATATTCAATTACATGAGTACAAGGTTCATTTAAGTTAACCACTCTTCCATCTATAGCCTTATCCAATTATATCAATTTTATCTATTATAGAAGTAGATCAATACATCAAAAGAAATCTTTAGAAAATAGAAATTCTATTATTAGTTAAATTATCTATCTAATCTAGATCCTGGCAATTATTATTTGTAGAGCTCTTAACAGTATCACTTTAATATCTATTTGATATCAGTTTAATACTTAAATTTACTATAAATTCATATAAATAAATCACAATCCATATATTAAATTTATTATTAAATCAATATTATTTGATACTTTTCAAAGCCCTAGTTATTTGAAGTATATATCTTTTAGAATTGATTAAAATATTCAGATAATCCATTTAATACTTTTAATCTGAAATCTTAAAGAAGATATTATATTTTTTGTTATTACTTGCAACTTCATATTTTCTTTTTTTTGGATTCTTTTCTTTTAAACAAGTACTGGATTAGGATAGCTCCAGGCTAGTGTATTTTTTATATTACAAAATTTGTTATGCCAGAAGGGTTATAGGTAAAGATAGGTCTTTAAATTATTTAGCATATAAAATTTTGCAGATTAATTATATTCTTTTTAAAAAGATATAATTATTTATTTATTATTTTAATAGGGATATAATTCAAAAAACATTTGGATCAAGTGGCCTAAATTGCAAAAAATCTTTGTAAGTAGTTTTTTTTTAATCTTATATTTAAAAAAAAACTTTTTTAATAGTAAGAAATATTTAAATTATGTTCTTACCTTTAATTTAGAAACTTATCTTTAGCTATAAGCTTTTATCAGAGTTAGAAAGAAGCCTTTTCTTATGTAATCATTTTTGCTTCAATCTGTTTTCAGTTTATAATTATTAAAAGGATCAGAGGTCTCATTTTTATGCAACTTAACTAAATTTAGTTAGAATTTAAATGTTTAAATACAATATTTATAAAAAAACTGATAAATTTATAAATAAAAAATAATTTTTATATATTTTACTTTTTATAGATATTAAACTAGAAACATATATTTGAAGATTAGGATCACTATTCACTATATTATTGATCTACTGGTTACAATATTTATTTTATTAATTTTAATTAAAAATATTAATAGGCAAATTTTATTTTTCTTATATAATTATTTAACAATATTTTGTTATATATACAGGGGGGTGAAAGAAATATTGAATATTTTGTGAGTTATAAAATATATTTATATTATAAGATTTAATTGATTTTGATGACTATATTTATTAATAAATTATTTATTTACAGTGATGATCTACAACCAAAACAAATTTCATCTTCGTATAACACGTCTAAGAGTTATAAAGTCATATATGATTTTTTCTTTAAAAACTGTCCTTTAAATTTTACCGCATCAATATGTCGCGGAAAAGAATTAACAGAAAGTCAAAAAGGTGGAATTATTACAGCAAAAAAACTTGGCCATACACATACCAAGATTTCTAGTGCTGTGGGTTGTTCCTGCTCTTCTGTAATATATATTTAAAAGCATATAAACTTAAAACATTGTCTAAAAAACAAACAGGTCATCTATGAATTCTTGGTCAATCTGCATGCAAATGTCTCAAGGCTTCAGTAACTCGAAATAAAAATTCTCAGTGCCAAACACTTTCCCAAATTCGTTCAACCTACCTAAAAAAAAACATAAATATTTCTACACGAACCATTAGTAAAGAATTGGCCAGAAAAGGAGTTTGCTCACAAGTTTCTTGCCACAAATCACTAATTTCAAAAGAAAATAAAGCCAAACATCTTTCTTGAGCACTTGATCATAAATATTGAAAAGAAGAAAATTTTAAAAAAATTATTTGGTCGGACGAATCTACCTATACACAATTTCAAACTTCAGGTTTTGGATGTGTTTGGTATAGATTGGTCAAAGAGTTTCATGAAGATTGCATTTTGGCTACAGTAAAAAAAGTCCAGGTTGTATATTTTGGAGGTGTTTTTCTTGGATTGGATTGGATCCACTAATTTCTCTAGTTGGTCATATTATAGGCTTTGTGTATCGTGATATTCTTGAAGAGTATGCCATTTCTACAGTTAAATTGTATGCAAAAAAATAAAAAAAAAATTTCTTTTTCAGGAAGATAACGCACTTGTTCATATCACGAAAGTTGCAAGATCTTTTCTCGTCTCCTTAAAAATTGAGCTGCTACCTTGACCAGCTCAAAGTCCCGACATAAACCTTATTGAGAATATTTGATCATATGTCGAGATTAAAATTCGTTAATGTAAAACACAGCCTTCAAGTATTGTATAATTAGAAAAATGTATTAAAGAGAAATGAGAAGCCATACCAGCAAGTTATTATAGAAATTTTATTAAATCAATATTACAAAGAGTTCAAGCTATTATTGCATCAAAAGGAGGTCGCACAAAATATTAGAATTATTATATAAATAATTAAATAAAGTTAAAAATAATGATGTAATTTTTTTTTATTAATTAAAAAAAAATATTCAATTCTTCTTTCACCCCCCTGTATATTAAAATTTTAATTTGAATCTAATTTTTTAGTATTGAATAAATTAATAAAGTATTGATAATTGTTATGTAATATTTATAAACTATTATATAATATTTATAAACTGTTATATAATATTTATAAATTGTTATGTAATATTTATAAATTGTTATGTAATATTTATAAACTGTTATATAATATTTATAAACTGTTATATAATATTTATAAACTGTTATATAATATTTATAAACTGTTATATGATATTTATAAACTGTTATATGATATTTTATATAATAATAATATTTGAAAAACTTTTAAAAATAAAAATTATATATTATAAATTAATAATAAAACAATTAATTTTTATTTAAATTGGTATTAAATATTAATAAATTTAATATATAATAATAAAATATATTATATTGATATTAATATTATATTTGTAATTATAGTCAATTTATCATATAAAATAC